TAGTCTGCGATATTTACTGGATTATAATCTGATCTGCTGCTCAATGTTCATTCATGATTAAATAAAAAACCAGCGGCTACCAGGCAGGATATGCCCACATTTTGCAAGAGATGGATAGAGAACAAGCTAAAAACACACATGATTTTTTGTGCAATCAGGGGCAATAATCCAGAAAGTTATGGCCAGAAATGTGCAAATATCAAAAGGGACAGAGATCTTTGGGATATATCAGATTTGTTTTAAGTTTCATCAAAATCGGATTAATATTGTGACCTCTAGAGGGTCCACAACCATCGTATTACACACTTCTACACAATTTTTGTTCAATCAAGGGCCATAATTCAGGAAGTTACGATCCGATATGCGCGAATATCGAAAGGAACCAATATCTTTGGGTTACAAACATGTATTTCAAGTTTCATCGAAATCGGATCAAAATTGTGACCTCTAGACGGTCCACAACATTGATTTACCAGATGTTTACACTATTTGCGTACAAGGGGCAGCCATTTTGTCCGGCAGTTTTGACCCGATTTTTATGAAATTCGAACTCACGGTGATATATTCCAACATTTTTTTTTAAATAGAATAATAATTGTGACCTCTAGAGGGACCACAAGCTAAAAACGCAATTTTGCGTATAATCAGAGGCCATAATTCAGGAAGTTACGATCCGATATGCGCGAATAATGAAAGGGACCAAGATCTTTGTGTTATAAACTTACATTTCAAGTTTCAACAAAATCGGATAAAAATTGTGACCTCCATATAAACTTGCATTTCAAGTTTCATCAAAATCGGATCAAAATTGTGGCCTCTAGAGTGTCCACAACTTTGATATACCAGATGTTTACATTATTTGCGTACGAGGGGCGGCCATTTTGTCCGGCAGTTTTGGTCTCATTTTCATGAAATTCGAACTCAACCATCCTTAGGGTGTAACGCTGATATATTTGAACGTTTTTTTAAATCGGATAATAATTGTGACCTCTAGAGGGACCACAAGCTAAAAATGTGATTTTGCGTACAATCAGAGGCCATAATTCAGGAAGTTACAATCCGATATGCGCGAATATCAAAAGGGACCGAGATGTTTGGGTTATAAAAATGCATTTCAAGTTTCATCAAAATCAGATGAAAATTGTGACCTCCAGAGTGCCAACAACCCTGCTACACAATACAGTGACACTATTTGCGAACGATTGGCGGCCATTTTGGCCGTCAGTTTCAGTCCGGTTTTACGAAATTGGAACTCAACCATCCTTAGGGTGTAACGATGATATATTCAAACGTTTTTTTAAATCGGATAAAAATTGTGACCTCTATGAGGTCCACAAGCTAAAAACGTGATTTTTCGTACCACTAGGGGCCATAATTCAGAAAGTTATGGTCCGATATGTGCGAATATCGAAAGGAACCGAGATCTGTAGATTATAAACATACATTTCAAGTTTAAACCAAATCGGATAAAAATTGTAAAATCTACAGTGTCCACCAGCTAAAAATGTGATTTTTTCATACAATCAGGGGCCATAATCCATGAAGTTACAGTCCGATACATGCCAATATCGAAAGGAACCGAGATCTTAGGGTGATAAACCTATATTTCAAGTTTCATTGAAATCGGATAAAAATTGTGACCTGTAGAGTGTTCACAAACAATTGTGAATGGATGGACGGACAGGGGCGACGACAATATACGTCCACATGAAAATGTGAGCGTATAAAAATGGATAATTGAGACTATGTTTTTTATCGTACGGACTTGAGTAATGATGATCGAGTCTAGGCCAAAAATTCTCGGTTCAGAGTGGATCAATTTGACTGGAATTTTCAGCAAATTCCCTTTACATTATCTAGTTTTTAACTATTATAGTGAGAACTGCCAGCTCTTTATTTAATCACCCTGCCATAATGTATCTTTAAGCTATATCACTTTTGCCAAACAGTTCAACCCATCACAGACTTACTCTACGACTTTTCATTTGTGGAACCATGGCACTAGAATCAACGATAGACAAAAATTTCTAAAATGCAAGCTTTACACCACTCTGTAATACACCCTGCCATGCACATGTTGATATTACTGCAGGCTCATGTAGACAAGAGATCAGATAAGAGGTCAGAATCAGAATGATCGATATACAATGGGCGATAAATACATTGTCTTTATGCATGTCTTTCACTGTTGTAATCTTTCATAACTTTTATAACTTGGTAGTCTTTTCTCAGTTCTTTGACATACCAAATTTCTACCAAGACTCTACATTGGCGAATAAAAATCACACCATTTGATTTGAATGTTTTTCTCTCCTAGATTCTGTTTGAAAGCATTTAAAGTATGAAAGTTAAATATAGATAAAGAGAGAGAGAAATGGGGTTTAACGTCCACTCGACTCAAACTAAGTCATTTCAGGACTAAAATATTCACTTGCGCGTAGAGGTCTTTAGCAGTGGGAGGAAACAGGAGGACCCAGAGAAAACCGACGTATTTGTACGACTGGGAATCGAAACCACAACACTTCAAGCCACCTTGACACAATGACTGACCTTATGTATGATACAACGTGCACGCGTTGACCTAGCTACAGTATTGTACCTGTATCCTGTCTTATCTGCGGCTACAATTGATACATTATTCGAGGATTTGCACAAGTAAAATTAGGTTCATTTGCAAATTTTCAACACATATCATAACAGTTTGCATGGAAATTAGTAATTATGTTACAAATAGTGAAGAGTGGAACACTGAAATCTTAATCTTACCTTAGGCCAAAAAAAAAATGTTCTGTTTCCGGTAACCCGAAAAACCCATCACAAAAACTGCTGACTCTTAAATTTTTTTTAGTGTCAAGAAATAAAAAACGAGCGACCGTTCAGAATACTAAAAGCCAACCAGATTCATGAAAATGACTATATTATTTGTTGCTAAAAATGAATATAAATGTCATCGTTCTTTGAATCCGCATTTACCAATCGGAATAGGCAGCTACTGTACAGCGAACGATTATTAAGAACTGCCATACTGTTGACGTTAAAATCGAGACTACAGGTTTCGTATAGATTTATCACTGCACATTCCTAGGGTTACCAAATTAATCATTGAAGAAATCGGGACATTTATTATTATTTCTAGAAGCCGGGAGATGCGTTTATGCTCCAATTATGTATTATGCACTGAACTATATTTAGATCAGAAGTGGTGTGCTGAAGTAAGATTGTTTGTAGCAAACACTGTTTTATATATTACTATATTAAAGATACATTATGTAAGATTTAGATAAAGAACTAGCCATTCTTGCTATAATAGTTCGAAAGTAGATAATGTAAATTGAATAATTTGAATATTTCATTCAAATTACTCTATTGCAAGCGAAGATATTAGCCTTTGAAGGTTTGACAGACGTGTGCAATAATTTCAACCACCGTACTGGTTGATCGAAGCTAAGTCTCGGTCCTCCATATTTAATTAAATCAAAGTATCGCTGAACCATTCTAATCTATTTAATATCGGAGAAATCTGATGCCATCGAGAGTTGATTAAGGCCTGGATCAGTTAATTAATGTCTAATTAATACTTTAGAAAACATTTCAGGCCTAAAGAAAGACCTGCAATAGGCAGATTTAGCTCTTGCATAATGCATGTTTAATCACTAGTTAATGTGTTTTGTCTTATTATTTTCAATTGAAAAACACCTGATTTAAAAACCGGGACATTTAGGCATGTTAGAGGCATCGGGGCGGGACGACAAAAATGACCCCAAAAAACTGGACTGTCCGGGTAAAACCGGGACGTATGGTAACCCTACACATTCCGAAAAGCTATAATCCTCACAATCTTCGTTCTAATCAGTAACGGCAAGCATTTTGACAAAAACAAGTAAACGAATGTATCTCAAACAGGTGGATAGGATCTGCTCGATTGGTATTTAAAACAAGACAAATTAATTTATTACGGACCTATTTCGTGCAACGGCACGATATGATTTTTTAAGTTTTCATCGCTATTTTTTATATAGCATGGAACGATTAAAAGTCCATTTGCTCCCTAAGAGAATATTTAAATCATAATCTAGCCTCTGATACATTTTAAACAATTATCCAAGAATTCCATCCACCAATCTATTCGTGCTTCATGTTCCCTGGCGCCGACTAAACCTAACATAAAATTGAAGATTTTTGCACAGAATATTATGCTACGGTAGATCTACTATAAGATCTAACAATGTAACATTTAAAAAAACAAAAAACAAAAAAAAAAAACAAACAAAAAACCTACCTACCGACCCTACCCGATTTTCCATCCGTTACAGGAAACAGAACCCTTTTTCTTTGGCCTTATCGAACAGTTTTCCTGTATTTTCGAGTGACGTGAAATCACATGATTCTGGTTCGGTGGCCATTTTAAAATGCACAGAAACTTTGCATAGCAGTTGGGTTTAATCAAATCATAGCCTATAATTATGTGGTAAGGTTTCACCTTTATTTCAATGGGAATTGGTTTATTATGTTAAGCTATGTGCAGTACAGTTTGGAGTCAGTGCAATTGGAAATTAAGGGAGCTATAGACTATAGGCAAGTAACTACTTTGTAGTCAAATGATAACAAAACTGGCTCAAAGGAACTCCTTAGGACGATCCACTACTGTGGTTGGTGCAAGACAAACATCAGTACTAGTGGAACTATTTCAGTGTGGGCCTACTGTTAACCATTCGACACCCCCCCCCCCCCACCCCAATTTATCCTAGGCCCTCGCACAAAATGTTTTTCTCCAACATTTATTCAAATTACACTGCCATATCTTATCTTTCTACTAGCTATGAAGTATAAATGACATAAGATATCTTGGTAAGACCTATTTTGCAGAAATTAATGAAATGAAAGAAAAAAGAACTTCAAGGCCGAATGTGCTCAAAATATTTGTTCAACAACTGCAATTTTCGTTTTAAAATATTATTTAAATCGTTTTCGTTGGTGACAAAAAGTATCCCGAAACTTACGCAGAAACTGCCTTCCCGCTGAGTACTTGTGACATTTCTTATTTGCTTCCAATTATGCACCACAAAAGAACACCGCTTCTTTGAAGGATAAACACTCAAACACGTTGTCCATTAACTAAGGGAAGATAACTCTATAACAGCGGACGAATTGATGCATCACAGAACTGTAGAAGGATGCATAATAATGATGAGTGTGATTAGCTGACAACTTGAAAAATTTAAGGCAAAATTAACCCAATATCATTCCACAGAGCGGCTATATAAATTGACAGCATAGTTATGAAGATAAAATAGACCATTTTTTACACAAAAAAGATAAGGTGAGGTAAGGTAAGTAAAATATAATTTATTTTCTCGACCCAGCTGGCTAACGGCGAAATCCGAAGCGGTTCAGCCAATCCTCATCCTGATCCTGGCAGTCTCGGTGCCCTGAGGTTCGTCTCGGATTTTTGGCTTGTTTGCCATATGCCTAATTGGGGTCCAATCAAGTACTGTATTTTATCGTTATTCTTCAGACCTAATAATTTGTTTACATCATGGGATAAAATGGCACCGTAGCGCAAAATATCGAAATTGACAGAAAAATAAATTAACGGGGCTTTGCACGTTAATTAGAGTTATCTCCCTTCCACCACAGACTCCTGAGAAAATATCCCTCAGGACGATACTGATATTTATTTGAATAAGTCTATTTCACTACAATATATTCGCCGTTCAATGTTCAGCCCCCCCCCCCACACACACATACCCACACCCACACACCCCTTCATAAAAAACACAACCCCTTTTAAACTGGGAATTTTTTTAATGATGTTATTTTATTTTGATACCTTCACTACAATTCAATAAACGTTCTCAGAATCAACACTGCTTACGATATTCCCTATAAAATTCCAATTTTCCTATTCTTCATTTATTAATCATTCTTTATGGTACTCTTTACACTTGTCCAACTATTCTGGATTGTCGGAACCGTAGAGTCATGCTAATCACCGAATAGAACCGACAAGGGCGTTTGGTTTTTTTTGGGGGGTTTTGTTGGGTTTTTTTTTGTTGTTGTTTTGTTTTGTTTTGTTAGTTTTTTTTACTTATCAATAACACTGAAAGTTTTGCAAAAAGTGACCGACAAGCAAAGATTGATGTGTTCATATTCTGTACAAAATTACAGGTAAATTGGAATTAAAAAAAAAAAAAAAAAAAAGCGGCGTAATACAGTCAATGACGAACTATAGCTTACACTGGATAAATTATTTATAAAATTCACAGACAAGAATTTACGTGTGATTGATAAAAAAAATTAAACCAACCAAAAAACAGCTTCTGGATTCATTGTTAGCATTCAGGGTCCTACTAATCACCGATAAAACTCCACAAGAACTGTCTTTTATCAAAAGCACCCAAAACATTGCAAAGCGGGAGTTACAGGGCAAAGCCTGAGTTACAGGGAAAGAGCTATGTTATAGATGTGCATATTCTAAATATCATATCCAAAATTACACTGGGTAAAATATGAAATCCAATGACATGAATTAGAATAGACATGGCATGTAACTCGTATTAAAGAATAATTCAATTTAACGAAAATTAAGGAAAATATGCTGGTTGTTAAGAGTCCACGCCATGGGCATACATATTGTGTCAACAAATCACCTTTTTCAGCAATGGTCATGATACAATCACTAATAAAGACCAAGATTGGAAATAAACATAATACGATATGTTACTTGTCATATCCAAAAATGTTAACGTACATACTTAATAATTCACTGGGCGAAAATATGCACAACAGTAATACATATTGACGAATATACAACTGGAATACATCTTGACGAATATACAAACTGTAATACACTAGACAAATATACAACTTTACTGTAATACACTAGATGGATACACATTACACATAATACACTATATGTGTAAACGAAATCATTTATAAACGAGGAACACACAGCATCTCAATACACTAGGCGTATCTAAAATTTATCACGAACGGAATGCTGGCGGAAAAGTTAGCCCTGGAAGTAGGAAAGGTTGTTTCCTGTTAAGGTTTAGGGTTTGATAATTTTTGCGTAGCAAGCTTGCGTAGCAGACCTTTAAGAAAGAAATTGAGTTTAACGTTCACTCGACACAAACTAGGTCATTTCGGGACTAACATGGTTCAATCTTTATTTCAATAATTCGCTTACGCGTAGGGGTCTTTCGAATTGGGGTGAACCGGAGAAAACCCACGAGGTTGGACAGGCGACCCTACGCCTTGTCACGTTCACCCGGAGGAAACGAAGCCACGCCAGTTGACTCAATGACACCCTTATGATACCCACCCCCCTCCCCAACGAAAATGGATAGTTAGATTAAGTGTCGTTTACTAATGGGTACACTTAAAGGGGCAAAATCGCTAATATTTGGGACCTAGAAATTGACACAAACGGTCGCAACACATATAATAATATACATGTAATCTGATTGTATATAAATTTATTTACATATAATTGTTTCCGTTTGGCTCTAATTTCAAATCAGTTCCAGCGAAATATGGCATACGTCTGAACGGAATGCCAATTTCTAGCGTCTGGTTATTCCAGTCTATTGCGCATGCTTTCCAGATAAGATATGGCGTCACCGTTTGACATGAGTTGTTGAGTATGTCTAACCTCGTTCTTTCTGATCACTTGTTACAAATGATGCTGAAACGCATTATGGTACACGATTCGTGTACCAATGGTAAAATGTTTATTTTGTCTAAAGCAGGGCTTATGTCGACTTTGCAACCCAAAGCAACTAGTTGCAGTCAGTTGCAAGAGTGCTTATGTCGATCATATCAGCAACTGAGGACAACTGGGAGCAACTGAATTCGGAGCGCTTATGTCGACTGGAACTGATAGCGATCACACTAAACACGTGACTGTTAATTTATTCATCACGTGATCAACAAAATGGCGAATTACTTAGAAGAAGCAACCCAAAGGCATGGTCGGTCTTGCTACAATTCTATTAGTATATTGTCGACATCATCAAAACTTGAAAAGTGGGTGTCTTCGTTCGCTTCCATTTGCTTATTTATAAAGTCACATGACACGTGTCTCGTATCACGTGATGTTATTTCCATGGAAACGATTTGACTCCAGTTGCAAAAACGCTCATGTCGACTGCAACTAGTTGCCGCTAGTTGCAGAAAGTTGAACACATGCAACTGACTGCAACTGACTGTAACTAGTTGCTTTGAGTTGTAAGAGGCGCTGAGGTCGACTTTTTGTCAGTTGCTTTCAGTTGCTCCCAGTTGCCGAAACGCCAGTTGCTTTCAGTTGCAAGGTCGACATAAGCCCCCCTTTAAATATTGGATATCAGAAGCCTACTATTTCGCGGTAAGATTACAACATCAATGTTGATTTAAATTGACAAATAATTCGTGTTTTCATCGTGTAAGACTTTGGATGATATTGAGTAACAAACTTAGCTACTTTAACTGCAATGTGTTATGTGATAAATTGTCCCGACAGCACCAACGCTACAGCATACGCCTATTCCCTTGCTCCGGGGGTGGGGGGGGGGTATCGTTTGGACAATCTGATTTTCGAGCAGACGGATAAAGTGAAAAATAAACCATGACGTTTTGGTCAGGAGCCACTCGATCATTATTTGTCTCATCAATTTTTCTTGCAGGCTGGTATAATGTGAAAAAGAAATATATTATAATTTTGGTAAAAAGAATAAAAAATATCCCTTTTATGCCTTCTATATAAGTCAGCAAAGTAAGTGCCCGAAACCTCACGTTTTTTATCTGGAGCCACTTTACATTGTGCAACAGTATTTGGGAATCGTTCATATTATTTCGTGTCATCAGTTTTTCGGGAATCTAAATGTCTTTGAATAGACTAATGAACAGGAGCGCCGGACTATGTGTGGAAATGCCCTCCGCCCCCTGCCCCCCCAAAAGCACGGGGTAATTACCCCACTGCCCTTACTTTTTTTGCTGACTGTCCTTTGAAATGTTTTTCGTATGCCACCATTGAGATTGTCTGACCATCCTTCTCGCTTCATTCTGATTAAAATGCAGATTTATATTTCGTTCGTTTTTTTTATACTTTCGATGGCCTACACTACATGAAGTTGTACTCGAAGGTCGTTTCAGGGGTCTTACGATCGGGATTTTGAGCCGATGACGTTAGACATTGATTAATCAATCAGCGTTGACGTTTCTAGTGCACGCCAAGAAGTCGCCGTAACAGACCGTTTCATTGGCTTATCCCTCACTTCAACCAAAACGCCGATAATATAACAACTCTTCCAGATCCTAGTGTAGTAAAGACAAGTAAAATGAAATTTTGAACTATAAAAATCGAAACGAAACAGGTCCTTTGTTTTAATCAGATTGTTCTCGCTCCAACTCTTCACCGATTTTAACAATTGGTATATGTTCGAGGTTACTTAGGTAAGGGAGGAAAGATGCCATCCCGTGCTCGTCTCCGGTTAGTGAGTGGAGACGAGTGCGGGTTCGCACAGTTTGTATACATGTATAAGGTATATAGAGTTCATTGCTAGATCGCAGCAGCACAAAATAGACATGTACTTTGATTAAGTACACGTTGTCGTACTAAAGGCCATGGTCAGATTTTATATTTTTAAATAATATGTCCGATGAAATTGTATATGCTACGTCGAAGTGAACCGAATCGGTTATTGATTCTAGTGATCTGAGTTGATTAAGTACACGTTGTCGTACTAAAGGCCATGGTAAGATTTTATATTTTTAAATAATATGTCCGATGAAATTGTATATGCTACGTCGAAGTGAACCGAATCGGTTATTGATTCTAGTGATCTGAGTTGTATTTTGATCTGATAGGTTTTAACTGGAAGCCTGCCAGAAGACGTCAGATTTCATCGGATTTTAAAATATATTCTCGGGGGAGGATTTTGGAGTTCGGATGGGCATTGGGTGACGTTTCGATTGCAAAACCTTATAAATAAGGCTATATATTAGATCACTTTCAGGTTGCTGTATTCCCGGGCTGAAATAGATTTTCCAACCGGTCTCCCACAACATACCCCCGACGGGGCGATTCGCGACTTAGGCGCTCGCCGCGGGTCCAAGTAATTTAAGCGGGAATTTTTTCGACCAAGAAATTGCATCCCCTCTCCCCACAAATCTAGAATTCAGGTGTGCAAAGAGTGGGATTTCTAGTTGCTGTACTCACAGGCCAGAATCGCAGGAAAACGCGTTTGCGGCCATGTAATTTTTTTTAAATATTCTGTCCGAACGCCTATGCGAACGACTAGACGTTTTCCTTCCCAGGCCTACCGTCCTGCACTGCCGACAAGGGGAATCCCAACTGGAAATCCCGATAACCATCTACATCAACACAGTGATCGAGTCCGGGAACTCCTTGTGTGAGCCGGTACCATACTCATCAGCCACCATGTATCCAGCCACATTTAAACAAAATGCAAGCATAGATAACGGCTACACATAAATTATTACCTGAAATATTACCATGGAAATGATGTTTACCTGTAAATGTAGTTATTACCTACGCGTAACAAGGGAAGATGTTTACAATAGATGGTTTCAAATAAACATTAAAATTCTGTAATCGAGAATATCGAGATCCTGATAAAAAAAAATAACTGGTCACACCGAAACCAGATTTCTTCCCATATATTCGCACATATTGCAACAACGGGTTGATTAGAGTTACGTTTTCTTACGTTGCAAAATTGTAAGGATTCGTCATTTAATTTATCCACTATCATTATCATGAATATATTGATCACCCCTTCAATCTTAGCGTAGTGGGGATTTCTTTGGGGGAATCTGGAAGTATTGTTCAACAATACTTCAGATATTTCATTATATTGCCAGAAAGACTCGAAATGGTAAGTTTTTATTTTGATCATATTGCAAATCGTGGGAAATCCAGAAACAGGACTTCTGGAACTGTGATTTTTTTTTAAACATTTATTCAGTTCTATAGGAGAAAAACCCTGTAGAAGTTGCAGAATTACCTGCTTATCATTCCATATTGCCATTTATGGGCCATGCTATAGAAAAGTTAGACGTTAAACCACATTTAATTTTATTTTGCACCATGCTGAAGATCATGTTTTTTCACGAAGATTATAAATGTATACTGACTGTAGAAGTCAGTTGGCAATTTAAATCGAATTCCCTCGGTGCCAACTTAAGATAGTAAACTGTGTTCTTGCATGACAGTGAAATGTCAATATTATGTCGGAAAATTATCGACCCACAGTGATGGTGAAGGGAATCAATCATTAATACTAGCTTGGCATCCGAATATGTGGTTGCAACAGATTGTCCGGAACCACCCCAAGATTGGGTTTTCATCTTAGCAGCAATCCGTAGAGATATACTTGCACATAAGATTGATCCGTGCTTCCCAGTCCCTTCACATTACAATCGAGATAATATTAACATCAAATACAAATATGGGATGCTTGCTCTTTCTAAAACATCCAATACCACCTTTTTTAACAGTTCATACAGCTAACACAAACCATGTAAATAGAATCCTAGCTTTATCCCTGCTTCAAAACTGTAGCTTCCAACTATCGCTCCATTTAGTAGTGACGAGTATTGTGCACGAGGTAGTCGATACCTACTTCTTCTGGCACCCCCGATACAACTTCTCCCAGCAGGAGAACTAAACGTTTGCATTGAAATTTTAGTTGGACAACGAACCCTGAAAGCTAGAACCAATGAGCCGCCGATAAAATGGGCATAGTGTACATGTATAGCATCAGGGATAACTGCCATGGTAGGCTATTCTTTTGACTTGCCGCCAGCGCCAGATTAACCATGATGGGAACTCGGGGGCCTTGAGCATGCCCCTTTCCCCCCAACCTAACATAAGTGATATGTGACCAGAACATAGGCAGTATTATTCCATGCACACATCATATCAAACCTAATTTGAAGTCGGTCAGTGGGGGCGCAGGCGGGGGGGGGGGGGGGCGCCGATGTACCTACATTTGACGGTCCACGGGGAAAGGCACCGTGGACGCACCTCACTTCGGAGAAGGGTCTAGCGAGCCCCCCCCCCCCCCGATCATTTTTGAAAATAGGGTCAATTTTGGGGATGAATTTGCGATATTGGCGTATTATGATATTTTTATATGAACATTATAAAAATTTGAAGGAAAGAATACGACTCTAGCGTACCTATTATGATTTATGAGAAAAACGAAAGGTTCGGAATTGGGTTAGAGTGCGACTTGTTTGAATTTTTAAGATTATCACGCCTGGTGCGGGCTTGAATTAATCTCATCCCATCGTGAATTTGACCTGGAAAATTACCTACAATCTTCAGTTGACTTTCTTATGCTAGATTTCGTCGTGGGCGGCCCACCAATCTCGGCATTATGCGCACCCCTCTGGGATGAGACATCCCACCAATCATGCCGTTTTGGGCGCCGCTTAATTGATCAAGCCGTGGGCGTCCAACCAATCTCACTCAGCATAATGCATTATGTGCGGCCCGACAATCATATAATATTGTCATTATAAGGCGCCCCACCAATTATGTCATTATGAGCGTCCCTCCGGGATAAGTCACCCCACAGATCACGCCGTTTTGGACCGCCCCATCAATCTAGTTGTGGTGTGAATCGCGGGATACATTATAAGGCACCTCACCATTTGGGGGCGCTTCATATATAACGACATTGGTTGGGCGCCCCGCCAATCTCCCCATGGGGCGCCATACTACTATATGGGCACGTTGGTGGGTGAATAAATCGGTTGACATTTGCTTGTTACTCATATGATATAATAGAATAAAATAATTTTCATGCAGCACCTGATGAGGTTGTGGACAATATCTTCGTTAGAAATCAAACATTCTCCCTGTCACACAATATTCCAGTAATAGGCGGATGCAGAATGTTGACAAATTTTCAATTCATCATATCTTTGTAAATACTGAAGGGAATTGGGCTATTTTTAAATTGATATTCCTTTTAGAGAGAGAGAGAGAGAGTTTAACGTCCACTCAACACAAGCCAGGTCATTTTGGGACTAACACATGGTTCAATTTATATCGCTTGCGTGTGGGGGTCTTCAGCAGTGGGAGGACCCGGAGAAATACCACGAGATTGGACAGACGACGATATACCATTTAGAGATTCAACTTTCACTATATTATATAAGGATTCAAATCACTTTAAAAAAAAAAAAACACCAGAGACGTTAATTTCAAATTATTTAATACCATGTCGCCTTCGTGGACGAATTATATATAATTTAAACCAATTTATAAAAGATTTACATTTGAAATCTCACCCATTGATTTTAACATCTTGGTATATTCTCATAATAATTTTAGTTTTTAAGAAATTTGGTCCCTTGAGCCGATACCGCGTGTCGTCTATTTATTTAATAAGTTCATGGTATATTAGGTTAATTAACAATTGTATTTCATAAACGTGCGATTGGTCGTTGGCCTACGGCTTCATTTAGATAAAGGTCCTCCATTAGCTAAAAATAAGGATTTGTATGCAAAAGATATGCCAAAATCGAGCTGGTATACCATTTTGAACGATCATTGTTTCAGTGTTAAGGTGTAGACTGTGAAATCAGTGCGCTAAGAATGGTGGTTGTTATTGATTATCTCCTGGCAGTATCCACAGACCAAAGACCACCCATCCCTTGCCTACTCTTCCTATAGTCTACCAGTCACGTGTTGTTTTGACTCATTCAACAAGACTCGGAACGATTTGTAACATTATTGTACATGTACTACCGTGGCCAGCTAATAAAGTCCGATGTGGATGTAAATGAAATATGCAAGGACTACCATAATGACTTAATAGGCAGTAGCCCGTCAAGTTTATTGCGATTCACGTACAGCAAATCGGGCTGTTTCAAGAATACTTGAAGGTCGAATAAATCGAAAGTAGTTCCGCTTTAGGTGCCACGGGTTCCTGGTTATTACCTCCCTTTGTTTACCATTTTGGTTCTGCATGCAAGTCACCAGGTGGCGAGGGGCACGTGCAGCCAATCAGCTGTTGAATTATCGATTTGGCGCTAATTGTATTCAACATGGAGAGATGTAGAGCTACTTGTCATATGTCACATTAGCATAGCTAGTGTTTCGCTATGTTTTGAAGGTGATTAAGCATGCCAGTGTTTCCTCATTCGACGCACAAAATTCACGTTGTTATATTTTTCAGTCAGTTGTAACAGGACTATAATTTATCGACTGAAAAGGAGCGAGTCAAAACGCCGACACACGTTATATTGGTAATACGCCAAGCAGACAGCCTCTCGTGAGAGTTTGTTGCTCAGTTGTGATGGCGCGAGGAGGCCAGCTGTCGGAACTAGTACCAGTCGCGTCTTAAGAAATATATCCAGTCGAAGAATTTCTTCAGATTCCAAAAGATTTGGGATACTTAAAGGTAGAAGATTTATCAGGATTATTATTAATTTCACAATGAATTGATGCAGGATAATTGAGTGAAGTGTTGTGAATCTAAGAAGCGACGGCAAACATGAGCAGGTTCTTGAAGACGTGTGCTACTTATTATCGCCCGTGATAAGGCGTCACAGGATTTATGGAATTGGTCTAAAGAGAGAAAATCATGTTTTTGTTAGCTCATATGTGATTATTTTTACCGGAGAATTGTTTATTTGATAAAAAGTGTTCGCATAAATTGAATAGAAAATAAATGAGTTGATGAATAACAGTGATGATTTTGAAACATATTTGATAGCCAAGACACTGATTTCATCCATGTAGTAAAATGAATTTTAGTTCTTATTCAGGCCAAGGCATCTTCATGTTACATTTTGTAGATTAGGTATGAAGATTTTAATGTTACCGTGTGTAGGGCAGGCAGTTCAGATTTAGAATTGAGTTAGATTAAATTGAAAAGAAGTGTTTAGACATTGACTGCAGTGCCTAGGGTGTCGGTATCATATTGATTAAACCTCGCAAAGTGTGATAGGCACATGTGCTGTGTTGTCAAGACGTGCACTTTATCGTTCCTTTACTGTTCCAATAAGAAAGGATTAGTTTCTAAATCCAGAAACCTCATGCTTCAGAGCTATTAAAGAAATTACATGTCATCTAGATATGGCTCACAGACATAGCACTAAACGCTCGGATTCCCTACCAAACGCAATGTTTGGTAATGGACAACAGAGCCACGAAGAGAATCCCAATATATTGGTATATAAAAAGGTAGGATAACCATACTCACCTCACACCCTCCTGTACTTAATACCTTGCCTTACTCTTAGCTGATTAGTATGCTATGTAATTACTATGTAATTATGGGGATGGTAATTCATTAATTGCCAGTTGATAGCTGGCTAATCTTGTTAGATATAGACGAACCAAGGAAAAACATGATGCTGCCATGAACCTTATCCTGTGAATTATTACCTCCCCAAAGAGCTGACAACAGAATTATTCATTTTGAATGATGTAAAAACAGTTTTGAATGGTATGGATTCAGGACGATTATTTTTCTGAATATGAAACTAAATTATAGATTACAAAAAAATTGTAGCACTTAAAATTCCAAGGGAGTTAAAGTATGCTGAGACATCACCATGCAGGCAAATTGACATCCTGTATAAAAAAACCCAACACATTGTAACCATAGTTTTCCTCAAAATAGATTGTTAAGCACTGTTCCATTCTCTAATGTTGATGTTAATTATGGATTAAACCAAAATCAGCTCCTATATATACTGAAAATTATACATCTGAAGGATACATGTATGGTAGATATTGATTTACCCATTTAAACAAAGTTCTTAGGTACATAAACTAAGCTTAGTAATAAAAACATGTTATTGCAGGAAGATGCCCAGACATGATTTGACAGTTTATAGAAGTAAATCAGTTATATCCATGAATATGCTATCACTTAGTTCACTTTCAGACTGTATAAATATTTTACTAAATATGACTACATGTAGTTTAACTTTATGATGCCAGTATTAAAGGATGATGTTGCTGTCCAACAAGGTAACATATATATATATGTGACAGAAATGGTTAAACACATTCCAAATATAATTTTAACATCACTACAGTTAATCTGTAACCATGATTTAAAGATTTCAATAGTGACACAAAAGAGGCAGAAAGAGAAATGGGGTTTAATGTCCACCTAGAACAAACTAGGTCATTTCAGGACTAAACGGTGGTAGGACTACAATTTTATTTCAATAATTAGCTTGCGTATATGGGTCTGGAGGGGTCTCACAGAAAACCCATGAGGTTAGACAGGGATCGACACCAAACCACTTGACTTAATGACAGACCTTATGATCTAAAGCACATGCATTAGACCAGTTGGAAACTCATCCACCCAGACATATAAAAGGAAATCAGTACTTGTAGAGAGTGGTAACAGCTCAGTGATAATTCCTCTGAGGAGTTGTTTTACATGAAAGAGACTGTGAGGGGATATTGTTTTGAATCTGACTGTTCATAAGAATAATTGATTGCCACATTTTCGGGAATACAGAGAAAAATAAATGCATCACAGTTTTGAATAATTTTATGCTTACCGGTACATACGAAATGATAAACATGTATATTTATTCTATATCAACAAACAAAAATCATACTATGCTTCTACTGTCTGCCAAATAAATTACGTGTCCCAATGTAACACTGTAGTTAGTTAATCTTTATTTGTCAAATACGGCATTTAAATTTTTTTTCAGTAAAAGTTCTTACAAATCGTATAAGACATCCATACAAAAGGTGATCTCTTTAGCAAATGTGAAAATAAGGCTTCTGTCACAGACAATGTTTAGCACAAATTCAGGTATTTTCAGGCACACTTTCTCCAGTGCTTATCATTTTTGTCCCATAAAGATATAATAATAATAATAACAGTTTATTTACAACTACATGTACAAGCATGTTACAACAAACATTTCACATTGTGATGCATAACAATATCTATCTACATCTCTTACAAAATAACATTAAATTTCAAGATGATATATGTGCAGTGTGTTGGTAATTGGTAATGTGTTGATAGTGTATTGACATGTGCTTGTACAAATGTACATGTATTCGATAACTATATAAACTAGACCAAAATAGGTTTCAAACTGATGTCTTTGCACAGTCTCATATAACAATTCTTCATCTTCAGAGAAATTATCGGTGAACTGAAAATTATTCCATATAACTGTTATTTAGTCGGTAACAATAACACTGATTTCCTCTTTTTTGCATTATTCCATACATGTACATGTATATAATTGTTGCAGCTCTCCAATTTAGTTGGTAACAATAACACTGATTTCCTCTTTTTTGCATCACTTCCAGAATCTTCAAATCATTGCTAGGGATCAACTATGGCACAGATTCCTACATGTATGTTGCAGTTTGATTTGGAATCTATTAAATCATATCTATCACATATAAAACTGGTAGGCAGCAACATTGTACTTTAAGGCCATAGTTATTTTAGGATACATTACTGTTTTGTAATATCTTAACCATTGAATTGATTTATCAATGACAACTCACTATCTAAAGATGGAATATGATGTCAGAGAAGGGTGGCTATGTAAATGAATACAGTTTGGTAGTTGAGATGCTGGAGGTGATATTGACATTTTCTTCTTGAAATATATAGTTTAAATTAATCTTTTAGACTTGAGCAAGGCATTATTAGCACAATCCACAACAGAAAAGAAGTGGCTTCCCAGTATAATAGGACATTTCATATGTATATAAATTTTTTTTTTAAAAGCGATTCCCCTGTTATTTCTTGAGATGTTTGAGGAAGCCCAGTGAGATTATTACCTTTTTTGAACTAAGACACACTTGAAGTGTATGGAAATTACGATGACACATCATTGAACTAAAACTATAAGAATGTTATCATTGTAATGTGTAGTTACTGTAACATTTATTTTTGAGCACTTTGACTTCAGCTGGTTTCTAGTGTCATTTGAAAAGTGTTTCTATCTGAAAGAGAATCATACTGGTACCTTTTTTTGAACCATCATTTTGCAATACACTTAAAGGACAATATTGGTGCCAGTCATTATCACATAATAGAGCTGGTTAAACACATTCCCAATATAATTTTAACATGGAGATCATTGCTATGATAGCTGAGTAATACAGGTTTCCTGAGTCGGAAGTGACAAACGCCAAAGGAAAACACAAGTCATCTCTCTATATAACTGACTGATGTGACGAGTGATAACGGATATACGGCCGAATTTCTGCTCACTAATAATTCCTTCAAAGACCAAAAGTTGATATATGGGACTGTAAGAGGATACCTGACAATTCAATAAAGTAATTGAATGTTATTAGATAAGAGAAGACGAGAAAAATAGAAATAGTCCGTACATTCCCTTGTTTATATTCATTCTATACCTTATAAAAACATGGTAATGCACAGACTTTTTCTGTTTTTCTTTCGTGTTCACTTATCTAGTGGCAGTCAATTCTTTTTATGAATTGTCAGATATCCTCTCACAATCTCATACAACAACTTTTGGTATTCGAATGAATTATTAGTGAGCAGAAATTCGCCCTTACATGTATATCTGTTATCACTCGTCACATCAGTCAGTTATATAGAGAGATGACTTGTGTTTTCCTTTGGCGATCGTCACTTCCGATTCTGGAAAACTGTATTACTCAGCTATCGTACCAATGTGTTTAACCAGCTCTATCACATGTGATAATGACTGGCACCAATATTGTCCTTTAATAAACTCCAATCAGATTAAAACACAGATCCCATTTCATTTTATTTTTTATAGTTCAAAATTTCGTTTTACTTGTCTTTTCTACACTAGGAACTAGAAGAGTTGTTATATAACCGGCATTCTGGATGATGTGAGGGATTAGCCATTGAAACAGTCTGTTACGGCAAGTTTTTGGCGTGAGGTGCACGGAACTGTGGGTAAATCACTAGAAACATCAACGTTGATTGATTAATCAATGTCTGACATCATAAGGTCAAAAGCCACTCATTTGACACCTGATGCAACCTTCCACTACAACTGGTCAGTTCTTCATGTAGTGCAGGCCATCAATAATATAAAAAATAATGAAACAAAATATAGATCTGTATTTTAGTCAGATTGAATAAACTTAATACATGTGTATACAGTTAATCAATACTGAATGAATGAACGAAGCAGCTTCACATCATACATTTCTGCTCCAACCAGGGTAATGACGTCGGGCATACGCGATGCAGTGTGCTATGACGAAAATTTGCCAGGACAGGTATTGAATTTCAGCAGAAAAGTGTTTTTTTGTATACACACCAATGTGTATACGAAACTTGGGTTTTTCATCCCATTCGAATGACTTTACACTGCTGGCAAAACACAGGGAACTTTCTTGACCAACACTGGGATCAAACCCCTGATCGCCTGGTTTAAGTGAGCCAGTGAATTACGCACTGAGCCACCACGGCTCCATTAATCAATACGCACTTAAGCAGTTAGGAACAAATTTATATATCAGCAATTTCAAGAATGCTGGTATCTGAATTTGTTTATAGGCGAGGGGAATTTGAAAAGGTCAAACAATGATTTGGGGGGACTGTGATTTTTGTGCGAGTTTAAAAAAATTTTCATGGCAGCATTAACGTTTTCGAGCAATGTGTTTTATCCAGAAATTTAAGCTGCAGCTGCACGCATTGTACACTGATACTTATCATCATATGAAGGTTCCCATCATACAAAATTCATATGGTACCGTATGGATATTGACTTCTTAACTGCAAGCAGCTGCATATCAATAAATCAGCTGATATTAATATTTAACAATCATTTATACATGTTAATATGAAAATAAGTACAGTTATATACTATTGATCTTATTGCTAGATGAATCTCTACTGAATTTGTGTTAATGGCTATTTGTTCTAATATATTTATACAGGTATGATATAGAATTTTTACAATGTTGAATACTGTATACATGTACTTGTATGTTAGATTATGGGACTATTACATTGCCATATTTACCTGTACCTATAGATCTTTTTTTGTGCAGGGGGGGGGGGGGATCCAGCCAAGGTGTATAATATTTTTAACAGTCATAAGCCTTTCTTACATGCGCTGAAGCCTTAAACATCTGTCCACATCCTCTGCTTTCCTTGATTGTGTTTTTCTTTATCTATCTTCCTTTAGTTCTGCAGAGGGGGGGGGGGATTAGTCTTGGACCTC